TTCCCAGCCTCCCTCTGATCCAGTGCTGGGTCCTGCCCCAGCCTTGCCCATGCCCTACTCTGACCTTGCTCCAGCCCTGACTCCGGCTACGGTACAGTTTGTCTTGTCTACAGACCCTGACCACCTGGCTTCAACCTCCACTCCGACTGTTTGTTATTTTGTGTACTTTTTTGTGTCCCGTCTCTAACAAACAATCCCAGTCTTTTCCATCTCTCTTCAGAGGAGAGTTTTGCCGTTCCCTAATCATTCTCATTACCCTTCTCTGAAGGCCCTGTAATTATACATTGTCCTTTTTTGAGGTGGGATGGACAACACTAAACACAGTATTCCAGATGAGGGAACTGATTTATATAACAGCCATGTTTTCCTTATCCCTCTTCATCCCATTCCTTACGTATCCAAACATCCTGTCTGCTTTTTTCACCACAGCTGTATATTGGGGAAAGGGCTTTATTCAGCTGTTTATAATGAAGCCCAGGTCATGTTCTGAAGTGATATCATTAATTTAGAGCCTTGTACAGTGTTTGAGTATTATTCATTGTTTAACGCTGAATTTCATCTGCCATTCTGTTGCCCATTCACTTAGCTTGGATAGATCTGTCTGAAGTATTTCAGTCTTCCAGGGCTTGACTAACCTGAATAACTTTGTGTCATCTGCATATATATTTCTGTCCACAATGTGCAATTGCTGCTGGAATAGTGTGTCCAGTCCCGGGGTCCCCAATTCAAGAAGAATGTTGATAAATTGAAGAGAGGGTCAGAGAAGAGTCATGAGAATGACAAAAGGATGAGAAAATCTGCCCTAGCTTGAACTTCTTGAGTCTCTCATTATATTTCATTTAACAAATAGAAGGTTCAGAGGTGACTTGATTACATCTGAAAGTATCTACCTGGGGAACAAATCATTAATACTGGGCTCTTCAATCTAGCAGAGAACGGGATAACAGGAGCCAATTGCTGGAAGCTGAAGCTAGATACATTCAGACTGGATATAAGGCATAAATTCTGAACAGTTAGAGTAAGTAACAATTTAGCAAGGGTCACTGTGGATTCTCCATCACTGACCATTTTTAAAGCAAGAGCTGATGATTCTCTAAAAATATGCTCTAGGAATTATTTGGAGAAGTTTTGTGGCCTGTATAACATGGGAGGTCAGACTAGATGATCACAATGGTTCCTTCTGGCCTTGGAATAAATGAATATACAAGGCTGATGAAAGAAATCATTTAGTTTTTCAACAATGTCCTTCTCAATTTTAACTGCTCTATTTACCCCCCTGGTAAGTCAGCGGACCCACTGATTTTATAGGGACAGTCTCGATATTTGGGGCTTTGTCTTATATAGGCACCAATTACCCCCCACCCCCTGTCCTGATTTTTCACACTTGCTATCTGGTCACCCTACTTCTAGAGAATTTCTCGTTGTGTTTATACCTTCAACTATTTACTGTACAAAATCCATCCTAGCCCTCCTCCTTTCCCTCTTACATATTGA